AACTGGAAGTAATCAATCTGTATTAAGTTATATAGGTAACATTTCAAGCTGGAAAACAACACTGTTAGTTGTATTTTTTATATTTTGAGGTAGTTTAACTATAAAGCAATCAATTTCATTCAAGAAGTTTTAGAAATATATAAAGGTAAGTATAATAATTTAGTTCAGATACTTAATTATGTAACAGTATTCAGTCATTTTGTTTACCGACAACTTACTTAGTAAATATGAAATCTACGGTGTAATTCTTCTTTATTTTAAACTTATCAAACAGAAGCATGCTTTGTTTAGACTTACAAGTAAAACAATATTTCAGTTAATTTGTATCATTCTCAATAAGGAGAAATATTATATTATTACAGGATATATATACTGAAGCTTATTTAAAACAGTAACATCTAAATCGCTATTCGTTCAAATAAAAATGATTTTTTACTGGTTGAAATCATGAGTCAATTAAAGCTAGACCACCATGGAAAACCTGGAAGCACTGGACGGCCGTTTTGTCCTAGTATGGGACCCCTCAGCAGTGTCTCGTGATTTCAAGTATTGAAATTACTAAAATATCGACAAAACCCCCTCTGATAATAATCATCTGCTCACTAGTGACTAATATCAAGAGACACTCCTAGAGTTCTAGTGAGACGTGATCAGTGGAGTTCAACCAGGTCTGTTGTGAGATATCAACTCACTGAAGACAATGGTGGACGGTGGCGCAATTTCGTGGATTAGTTGAAGTTAGACATTAACACAGTTGGATGCCGACACAGTGGTTTAGTTGGTTAAGCGCCTGATGCAAGACTGATAGGTCCTAGGTTCGAATCTCGCGGGAGGCGGGATCGTGGATGCGCACTGTTGAGGAGTTCAATACTAGGAAGAAACGGCCATCCAATGCTTCCTGGTTGTCCATGGTGGTCTGGCTTCAATTGACTCATGATATCAACCAGTGACATTACTACAATCTCCACAAAACCCCTTCTGATAAAAATGATTTTGTCGAAGAGAGAACTACATTTAAAATAATTCATTAATCTTGATTCATGCATGAACTCGTTATTCTATATATATTACACAATGGTAACTTATGTAAAACTTTTAGAAAAATTTACTCAGGTATGATTTCTGATAACTATCATGAAATTTGATTGGTTTCTTCTTTGCTTTAAAATCACTAGCATAATTGTAATGATTTTTTTAGTTTTCATCATAATACATGATTGGTTTTACAAAACCGAAATGCTTTTTTTTCTAGGGCTAGATGTAGTACACTTTTAAATGTTTTTTCCTCCGTTTTCTTTACATCCTTATTTTCGCTTTTTTTTCAACGACTCAACAAGTAGAGTTAAATTGTTCACATGAATGCTTGTTTTTCTGCTGACATGACTCTAAACTTACTATGCTGATGAAAGTGTTCATCTATATATATATATATATATATATATATATATATATATATATATTTGATAATGGACGCTAACTGTTGACAAATATCTTTTAATGTGTAAAATAACTACTCCCTAAAACAATTTAAACTTTTCGTAATCTACTCTTCTTTCTGAAATGTACTGGTTTTATGCCTGTAAAATCTTGAAATGAAGATGTTGTTGTGTTTTTTAAGCCGGATGATCTGAATAGAGTAGAAAAACGTCAGAGATCGGAGTTCAGGATGCTTCAAGAATCCTAACAAATATCCATGAACATACATATTTTGTATTTTATTTGTCATCACCGACACTACTTGCTTTTTACAGAAAATTATTTATGTATTCCTAACGATATGTTACACTTAAACCTCAAATATGAGTGAAGACCAACCTCTCTATGATTGAACTTGATTTATCTTTTCATTCTAAGACTTAAGTAAGCATTTATTGATCTTATGAATTTTAAACTGTACCGGTTTTAAAAAGTGAATTTTCATCTATACGGTTAGACGAAAAAAAGTGTTCCACATCATTTGTCCGATAAAATAATTATTAATGCCGTTTACATCAATATTTCTACTGGTCTGACATCTTACGTTTTCCCATTGCATTTTAGATAGTATTCATTTTTTAGACACTTTTATATCAAACAAATTTCTAACTAAACTTTTGTTCGTTGAACAACTATAAACTAAATCAAATATATATATATATATATATCTGGAAAAATTTACTACGTAAATGAAAGAAAATCACAAGAATTTATTAATAATGTGTATGGAGAAAAACAACTTTGAATTTAAGAAAAGTGATGCATTTCAAAAGACATTCTGACAAGCTCATTAGATGGCTAGAGAATACATCTTTCAACACAGAAAGCAACCCATGCAACTGACATGCCTGACCAACCAGACAAATAACTTTCAGGTAAGAAAACAAGTGAGAGATGCAGACAAGTGCATGTTACTGACCAGCACTTTGTTTGATTATCTGAGGAAAAAAGACATGCTTAGTGAGTAGGTGGACATTCTCGAGGTCTCTTTAGCGTCGCTCAAAGGTCGTCCATAAATTATAGTCTCACCGTTAAGTTAACAGTTTACATCACGAATCGACGTCAAGTATAAAATGATAATCGTAGATTTAAATTTGACCTGCTTGGATGAAAAGACTATAATTTATGGACGACCTTTGCGCAACGCTTAAGAAACCTTGAGAATGTCCACCTACGCACTACGGCTAAATGAGGAGTATAAACCAGCGTGAAAAATTAGGATTGATATTTAAATTTGGTAGTTAGGGTTAGGAATCAGATGTATGGTCTTCATAACGAACTTAAATCAGCTATAATGCCAAAACTCTATTCAGCAAAATGAATTAATTAATTTTGCTCCAAAATTTAAGACCTGTTATCGAAACTCTGATTGATTCGTCCGAAAATAATGGTCGCGTTCACTTAACATCTATTCTCACAGTAGTAAGTGGTTGAAATTTTACAAGGTCATTTAAGGTCCTCGATAATTTATAGTGTCGCAGAATAATCCACTAATATGAACTTCATTTCCAATTGATGGAACTTTCCAGTACGCCGCTAAGTTCACGTAGCCTAACTACAATATAGAGGTCATGTAATTGCAACGTGAAACCATAAGTTGTGGACAAACTATGAGCGCGCTAAACTGACCGCGAGAACGTCTATCCAATAACTAGGAACAAATGAGGGTTATAAATCAGTGTGAGAAATCAGAATTATGATATATAACTGATGGTTAAGGTTAGAAATTATATTTAGGGTTTTCACCAAAACTGATATCCTCGATAATGTAAAAAAAGGAATTTAGCCAAATGAATGAGTGAACTTCGCGCCGAAATCAGAGACCTGTTATCTTATACCTGATTGCTTCTTCCATAAATTATGGTCTCGTCTTGAATCTGATTGGTATTAAAGATCGAAGTTCGATTTGATCAGCATACAATCGAACAAATTGTCCGCTTATTGCAGTCTCAAAAAATGAAACTTCTGATCAAAAGAGATGGGAACGTGCTTAGCTGACGCTACAGGTCATATAATTATCAACCGATATTGCAGTTGCAGAGGATCCAGTCCCTGCTTACTAGAGTGACATGCAGAGTGGCGTGAGTGAGGATTGGAGAAGAAGAGAATATTGGGAAAGATGCGTCATCGACCGGGCTTACACATGTAATTCACATAAATCGATCAAGAATAGTACTAGACAACTATTAGCAAAAACAACAGATTCAGTCAACCTTGAAATCGAAACTAAAAATAGATAGTTCATAGCTATCCCTCCTAGTACGATTTTTGCCAGTGTTTCTCCAATGAGTACAGATCTCACGTACTACAAGACCAAACTTGGAAGACAACTCAATCGACTAAATATGAAACTCTATCTCGGTTGATACACCAAACATTAACAACATCTGATAACCAGACCAAACATGAATTGGCACAGAAATCGTCTATAGTGTTGAAAGATTATAACTGAAATGTTTCTTCAATAGAGACCGAATCTAGCGTAAACGAGCCAGCTCATGATAACACTATACAACCAGACAAAATCCAATGGACGAAACGTGCATTTTATTTGACAAACTCTAACCACCGTTTCCCGGTTTTGATGTAGAAAATAATGATGTTGAGTATATCATGTCGAATAATATAAAACTGCCGTGAGTGCCTAGACATAAACGTTCTGCAAATGAACCACACCGTTTGATAACTAGGGATGGACAGGTCATCAACATCCATTGGAAGGCGTGAACGGGATAGAAAGACCACAGTGCAGTAATAATTATCTTAGTCATATGCAAGACATTGAAGAGGGACGAGAGTGCCCAGCAATTATACTACAGCCAGCGAAATATGAGGATATTCAAGATTATATTTCAACAGCCACGAAGCTGCATGGGTGATATGGACTAACGTTAGGTTACCACCGATTGACAAGGAGATATTCAAGCGCACACTAAAGTGTGTAACGGGACTGAACAAGTGAAGCTGTGTATTGACATCCACAAACGGGAGCAAAACATTAATTCGATTTACCCTAAATTGTCACAAAAATATCGAAATAGTTTGATGATAAAACTCACTCATTTTTGTTTTATATCCTCATACCTCTATCTAGAAATACCAATAATTACCTTTTATTGGACATAAATGTCTCCTGTCTCGTTCATGAAGTTAGCAGAACCTTGTTTTAATCACCAGCCCTATAACAACAAGTTGTCCAGTGACCTTAAAATCCAATTAAATGACTACGGTGTAACGCGTTCGAAGGCTAACACTATTAACTATTAGTTCCGTCGTCGAACGGTTCAAACTTCACGCCATAACTATCGCTTATTGCTGATTATTGCTTTCGTTGTTAGCTACAGGTCCAATAAATGGTTACTAGGCCATAACCATACACTTTCTTCCGTCTTTTCCATAATAATACTTCCCATTCACCAACACAACGTACCTACAAACTAAACATTAAACCTACAAATATCCCAAAGGTATGGTTGCGGTATGAAAATTTATTTATATCCTCCAATAGTGAATTTTGTGTATTAATGGGCTCAGAAGCTGTGAAAGTCGTTGTTAGAGCACGACCATTAAACGAACGTGAAAATTTGCTCAAATGTGATAATATTCTTGAAGTATTCAGCGATACTGGCCAGTGTTCGATTATAAGCCCAAATGACAAGAAACGTCCACCGAAAATATTTTTCTTTGATGGATCATATGACCAAAATTCAACTACTGAACAAATATACAATGATGCGTGTTACCCTCTAGTTGAAGGAGTTACTGAGGGATACAATGGCACAATATTTGCTTATGGACAAACTGGTTGTGGAAAATCCTACACTATGCAGGGAGTAGTTGAGCCAACATTCCAAAAAGGAGTAATACCCCGGTAATTAAAATTAAGTTATGAAACGAAAATAAAAGTCTTTTCATGTTAAGACAGCTTATTGATCTGCATTGGACTACGTACATGTGATAGGTGTTTTAGAATGAACCTGGATACCGGATAGGGAAGTCATTAAGCATATTTCAACTTAATATGCAGAAAATTCTGAACTGTTAACAAATAACTGTTTCCGAGGATCGTAACACCTAACTTTCTCCTACTCAGATTACATATCGAAAAGCAGGTTAAGAGCGGACAGTTATACAACGTTGAAGTATGTCTTGGGCACTGCTGACGATGAAAAATCATTTGTATAAAATAAGGTTACTTAAAGCAACATTTAGTCATTATGTTTTCTTCAGTATTTTGTCAAAAGAGTTAGCTCATCCATCACTTAGTACCGGTCAGTACAGAATACACCATAAATATGTAATAATTATTAGTCGGCAGAAAAAGCGTTTCAACGCGTGGTAATCTAAACAATTAGGTTTAGTTTTCAAAAGTTAGTGTCTTGAATCTAAAAACGTTTCTAAAGACAAAATAAAGCTTTGCTATTTTTTCACTTTCATGTAATGCCTTAAGGGATCACTTTATAAATCATTAAGTCGACAAATAACTCACTTTCCTCCAAGTCATTTGCTGCACTTAGATTATATATATATATCTATATATATAATGGTTATAGCGAGGATAGCAAGTACAGTGAATTAATTTTGTCCTTCTTATCTTGTTTTCATGTCAATAAATATTATCGGTAACAAAATCGAACAATATTTTATGAACCCTGTTCTTGGCTTGAAAAACATACCAATTTCTCAAGATCCGTAGTTTTTATTTTTGCCAAACACTCAAGTTCAGATTCCCTATTTAGCTGCATCTGACTATCGTGATGTATGATAATTATATAGCCTGCAGCCTGACTAGTTTTTAGACTTTGAACAAATAACTTCATCTGAAGTAGCAAAAAATAACATTAAGTGAAGCCTAGCTCAAGTCCTAAAAGAGTGGGTTATGACAAATTTGTTTCTATTCAGGGACACTATCAATTATATGGCAATCTTTATCATTGAATTTTGATGATACCGTACTAACATTTCGCAATAAATTGTGGCCTCTTTTTTTAAATCGCAGAGCATTTGATCAAATATTTGAGACTATGTCTGTAAGTGAGAAGACAAAGTATTTGGTCCACGCATCATTTCTGGAAATTTACAATGAAGAAGTTCGTGACCTTTTGGGACATGACTACAGAGCTAAATTAGAGCTAAAGGAGAATCCAGATAAAGGGGTTTACGTTGCTGGTTTGTCAATGCATAAAATAACTTCAGTTGCAGAATGTCAGGTAGTGACATATTATTAAAAGTTTATTGACTTCTAAAATTGTGTTAGGAAGGCTTTCAGATTAATGGGTAATCTCAACGAATTTTCATATAGTTGTTTGATTAGTATTCAAAATTAACAAAAACAAGTCGTTATATTGTACATAAATAAATGTTTGAAAGTAGGGTATGGACTTATGATTGTCAGATTTTATGCGTCTTACAAAAATACAAAGCTTTGTAGGCCACTTAGATACCTCGTACCAACCCTATAATAATAATTAGCACAAAATATAATATTATCTTTTACTCTTTTCCTTAAAAGTGAAATAAAATATGTCAAAATTTTTCTATATTTTTAACCATTTCACCTCTTAATTTCAAAGCTTTACACTAAAAGCTGTTTTAACCAAACGAAGTTTCGAATGTCATACCTAAAAGTGTGAGCGGTTTGTGTTTTAAGAGCAACAACAGCACTAAAAACTGAGGATAAAATCTTACTATAGTAACTAAAAACATATATGAAGTAACATCATAAAAAAGATTAACAAAATACTACATGCAACTAGTTACTTTCTAGTTGAGAAATAATATAATTGAAGCAATAAATAATACAGAATGTGGAAAATGTTTGTTTTAGATTAAACTCAAGGAACGACTTTGATAATGCTTAAACCATTTAATTTTTCATACTTGTATTGGGTTTATGTAAAAATTCGAAGATTCCAATACTAAACATCCCAGTTAATCTTGGTCATTTAGGTATTAAGAGTTTCGTACCGATTCACAAATATGCTAAACTCTCAGTAAGTAAACTCGAATATTGGTTGGTAAAAGCTCTACATGATCATTTTAAATAAAGTTTTTATAAATTTTACGTAGTTATTACAAAGAACCCTTCAAATTCACCTCATGAAGTTCGTCACTCATTCGCTGTTGTCTCAATCTTGGTAATCAGAGGTATTTGGGCATGTAAACCATTTACTTACAAGTCAATTACAAAACTATTGAACTCGCCTCCCTTGAATATATATTTGCTTGATTAGGACTCACTAAATAACTAACCCTTTTTCTACGAATATTTGTCAATATCAGGACGAACAGTATGACAAAAACTGAGCGCCGAGCATAGAGAAGTCATTTTATGTAAGAATCATATTTGGATTCATCTTAGCGATTAAAATCTAAATAATTCCAACGGTTTGTCTAGTAATCTTGCCTGGACTTCTTCAGGATAATAATCAAGATCAAAATTATCAAAGAAATATATAGTGTTTAACGACCACATCTATGCTATGTTAGTCCAATCATATTTACATGCTGATTCTAGTAAATAAGATAACGTGAGTTGGTTATATGAAGCGTTCACAATGTGAAAATAAATAAATGAATGTGTGTATGTGTAAGACCGGGTTATCATTAGTTGAGATTAGGTGTTAATTTGTTTATATGAAGTAAAAATGAAGGTATAAGTTGAAAGTGAAAATTTTTTCTGGATCATCAATGCTCATTTAAAATCAGAATCATCAAATACATAATTGTAGTGCTAAAATATCTCAGATTAATTCCTTTTTTGTTTCACCACCTTAAATATGAATACATAATTTTTGGTAGATAGTAGATCTTGAGTAAAACTAAGTTTCAATCAGCGTATGACTCTTTTTATTTTCATTAGTATGAGCGCTGGAACAAAACTGATTCATAAATCCGAAATTTAGTACTTCTGCTATTTTACACATTCTTTTTAAAAGGTGGTACATAGACCAGGAACTAAACTGTCTAAAAAAAAACGAAAATTCAGTTGTCTAAATTATATTTCATTTCAGAATGTAATGGAACTTGGATGGAAAAACCGTTCAACTGGAGCAACATTAATGAACGCTGACAGCAGTCGATCACATTCTATTTTCACGATCTACTTAGAAATGATTGATCGAAGTGACAATCTGCTTGATTACAACCATATAAGGGCCGGTAAATTAAATCTAGTTGATTTGGCGGGTTCTGAAAGGCAGACAAAAACTGGTGCAACTGGTGATCGTTTTAAAGAAGCTACAAAAATTAATCTTAGTTTATCAGCATTGGGTAATGTTATTTCAGCGTTGGTTGATTCCAAAGTTAAACATATACCTTACCGTGACAGCAAGCTGACTCGACTGTTACAGGTTAGCCTTTAAAAAGATATAGTATTTTAGAATGTGTCTGACCTTTACATCTAAATAATATTTAATTATTTTGGACATTTGCATCAAATCTTGTGTCACGATCCAGTCTGGATATTTTCAAGAATTTATTGTCGTAATATGTTTCACATATATTGATTGTTTGGGTCTTATCATTGATTTTTAGGACTGTGATTGATCAGTCGCTTTTGACATATGTGCGAATTGCACGGATTTTTACCTGTAAGTAACAAGTATTACAAACAGAGATGGATGGTGGCTAGCAGTGGAATCCAGGACGTCCGTTTCGTCTCATTTGAGACTCGTCGGTTAGACACATCTGCATTTCGGATTAGCAGTACACTCTTCGACTCGAACCCAGTACCTTTAGCTTCAAACGCCATCGCGTCATCACTTAGTTCCTGAGTCCAGATAGCAACTGGCTTGTGTAATGGGATGGATTTTAAGTCGCATATATTGATTGTTTGGATTGTCCCACAAGTAAGTGGCTATCTTTATAAAGTAGCTAAATAGACAATGCAATGGCGTTTGAAGCGAAAGGCACTGGGTTTGAGTTGCAGAGTGAACATCGACCCTGAGATGCAAGCAATATTTTTGATATCATCTGTATCGTTAGCTTTGATAAATACCGTGTTTTCATTTTATCATAAGAACTTAATGGTACACGACATTCATTTCTGAGGAATTACCGTGGACGCAAGATAGGACCGAATTATAACTTCTTATCAAACAGCTAAAACACTTGGAAATGCTAAGATTCAATAAGAATATAAGATACTTGTTGTCATAACATTTATGACATCTAGAGATTATTCTATGTTAATTGTAACGTACTTTATATAAGAGGGATTTCGTGAGATCCTATCTTGTATCAAAAAACACAAAGACTCCGTAATAATCCTGAAGAATTTAAAACCTCACGTTTGGTAAATACCACATCGATGTTCGTAATTCCAACTTGTTCGCAAAGCTTTACTAACTACAAATAAATAAATACAGGTAATGGATGCACTTTACATCATAATAAATCGTAATTTACTTAATAGAAAGAAAGGTTTTACTAACCAACCGATTTGATTAATCAATTCCTAACTTATATCCAACCTCATCAATATCATACTACATGTGCACATATACAACTCATCATTTAGTCACACCATTTATCTCTCATCTATTCAAACCCGTCAACATACATATGAATACCCGTCAGGTGTACATCTGATACGATACCCAAGAAGTGAGTTTAACAATCAGTCCTTTATTGATTGAAGAATGAATGATCCATAAGCTAATTCTCTTCAATCACAGTTGACTTATCACGTTTATTTTGCATTCATATTCTGTAAATAAGCATATTATTTTATGACATAAAGTCTGTTTATCCGGCTACTGGTCTTTTCTTCCATTGGCAATCACTCAAGGGCTTAAGTTAATAATACAGCTGCAAGTGCAGCTATCGTTCAGCCAGATCATATCATTGTGTTTTCCTATCGACTGGGATTTAACTCATTGGTTTCGACAATTAAAAGCTCACTCAAATCATAGAAAATCACAACAACAACCAAACTATATATGGTCACACGTGACAAACCTGATAATAACAAGCCAAAACTTGTTTGCATGTGTTTCTATCTTACTATTTCAGCTTATACAGAAAAGTTATTTATTCTCTAAAAAGACAATGTACACTACCGTGTGAAATATTACAACTTCATTTCTCTATTTAACGGAATATTGTAAATATACTACATTTTGTTGTAACAATGATATTGATAATTGTATATTATTTTTGAATAAGATACACATCGTACTTTTGAGTAACTCTTATCTTTATATATTTGATGAGTCTGAAATTTTAAGAATTCAATTTACGTATTGAATCATTTAAATCATTTTAAATAATCATTTTATTTTCTCTTGGTTTTAATTATTTCAGTATGGAAATACAGACTAGGTTAACAACTTGGTATGACTGAAATGTGACTCATGAATTAGGCATAATATTTAACCTAAACAATTAAAGTTCTGCTTAGTACGAATTGTGCACTAACATTAACTTTGTACAAAAGAATACAATTACATTTGATAAAGCACATTTTAGGAATGAAAGTCAATTAATTATTGAATGTTACGAGAAACTTTTGATATTGATCACTTTTCATACTTTACTGCAAACAAAGTACTTTTGAACTTTAAAGTAAAAAAAATCAATGGTTGATATAGATTTATTTCATAAATAGTAAAAACTTAAACAATTGCTGAAACTTTTAGTGGTATTAAGTCAAATAACGTTAAAAATTGGGTATTTTTTAACCGGATAGTGACTATTTTCATATCTTATCACACGATATTCCCGCAAGTACATTTATAGGAAAACACTATAGCAACTCACGTGCAATTGAGTTTGTTCTCATTGAATTCGGTTAAACCCTTTTGTTGACTTATTTAGCGGACAGAGTCAACTGTGTTATAACAATTTATTGTACCTTTATTATTGTTGTACTTGTATGAAATATGTATGCTTGAAGATTGTTTACCGCCTACGCATATATTCATTCTGCTAGCTTTATTATTAGCTGCTTAATCAATTCGATGATCCATTCATTTTCCTATATATATACATTTAATACTCTATGCTCAGTTCTCTGACTCGCTCCTTCGCCTCTCTGCTTTGTGGTTTGAATATCTGCTAATAAAACTGTAGTCGCTGCTTCTCTTTGCCTTCTGATTTCAAACACCGTTGAGGATTATATGATAACGGTTACGAGGTTGATTGGTTAACGAAGCACAGTTACTACAACATTACTTACTTACGCCTTTTACTCTTTTCTAGTTCCATCCATTTCTTGTTCATTTTTCTCATGTTTCTCTCTATTTCCCGGTGTAAAGTGTTCTTTGGTCTTCCTCTTTTCCTTTGGCTTTGAGGATTCCATGTGAGGGCTTGTCTTGTGACGCAGTCGAATGCTTTCCTCAATGTGTGTCCTAAGCCATTACAACATAGATAACCATTAAATATTTCAGTAACAGTATTCAGAGCTAAACTGGATAATACTATCCTAACTAACCGTAAAATATATGTTCGTCTAATTACAAAAGTGTTCCTATTTTTAATACACCGATTTCATTTTGTAAGTATCATAAACATTTATTTTGAACCAGTTGGTCTAAACAGACTGCTTATAATACCATAGTAAAGAAGCAACAGATTATTTTCATGTAATTCCAATTTTTCATTCGTATGTTGTGTAAATATTTCAAAACTTATTGGCTGAAAATGTTATTTACATTGTTTATAACTGATCGACTAAAAAGGTTATTCGACGATTTAACGCAGGATATATCAATCAATAATTGTGTACTTATTTCGAAACAACAAACCACTGATAAACAGGCAAAAAATTTATTTCATTCAAAAAAACTTTAGACTCATATACAGACAACATATAGTTATACCAAGATAGAAAAATTAACTACATAACTCTTCCCTCAATGTTCATCGATTCACTGTTGATGGAATAATTGAGTTGATAAGATATTTAACTACTGAAGCTATCAAATTAATAATCTGCTCAGGTGAACAATCCAGTTATCTTAACCGAAATGATTTCATGAGACAGAACTACTGATCAAATACTCAATTAATGGAAACGGCCTTTTAGTCCTGCCTAATTTTCAACGGTACCTCAACAATCCGTGACGAATACAAACTACATACATTGACATATATCAACTATCAAAGACCATAAGCTGAACCACATGGTAAATGAGGAGTTACAGAATCGTTTTCCCCCTAAATAGATTTAAATTAGGCTTAGCTTCACGTTCAGCTACTCAAAAAGCTCACTTGTATGCGGGATAATCTCTAAAATCTACTTAGTTTCGCTATTCATCCACCGGTTAAAATAACTTGATATAAGCTCTTTAGATTTTAAGTAGTTAAGTATCTTTAAAAATAAATCAACTTGTCAACGTGTCTATGTCCAGTAATCTAACACCTATATAGTAACTGGTACCCTTAGAATTACTTCAATCAATAGCACTTCGTATTTCATCACATATTTACAAACTTTACCAGGATATCTTCATCAGGCAATCGAACTTTCGTTTCCTAATTTACAACTGCTCAAACAGGATTCTTTGGGAGGAAATACAAAAACCCTTATGATAGCGTGCTTGTCACCAGCAGACAATAACTATGACGAAACATTGAGTACTTTACGATATGCTAATCGAGCAAAAAATATACGTAATAAACCAAAAATCAATGAAGATCCAAAGGATGCGCTTCTACGTCAATATCAAGAAGAAATCAAACATCTTAAAGAATTGCTAAATAATATGCAGGCACCTAAAGAAAATCTTAAATATTTCAATGGAAAAGAAAATATTGAAATAGAGGATACTGAAATTGAGAAAGAATTATATGATGCCAAACTTATGCAATTGAATAGCCACCAAGATTTACTGCCATCAACGAATCAGCGTAAGTTTTAAAGTTATTTATGATTAGTAAGTCAGTTCCATTGTTTATTTTCATGAATAGTTCAACAGCCTATGTTTTATTTCGATTGTGAACCATTACACTGTTTCAAATGACGTTGTTTACTTAATCAATCGCAGAATTACTCTTAATTTACAAATCACACAGACCACCAACAGTGAAAACTTAATTGCTATGTAAATTAATCTACTGTAACTGTAATTGTGAACAAACTTCACTGTTATCATTAGCAAAAATAATAATTTCAATAGTTGGAATCATGAGTCAATTGAAGCTAGACCACCGTGGGAAACCTGGAAGAACATTGGGTGCTCACTACTGAGAAGTCCCACAGTAGGACAAGACGGCCGTCCAGTGCTTCCAGGTTTTCCATGCTGGTCTAGCTTCAATTGACTCATAATATCAACTATTGAAATTACTACAATCTCTACAAAACCCCGTTCTGATGAAAATAATAAATATTAATTACTTTGATGAGTAAACCATTGAAATATTGTTATGTAGTAAACATTGTTAATTCCATATTACTAGTACTTGTAACTTGCAAAGAATGGTAAGAATAAGGAAGCTAACCTCATGAAATTACCAGGGAAACATGAAAATTATAGAAACATACAAATAAATCAACTTTAGAGAACAATTAAGTTGCTGAGCAACTAATTATAATGACCCGAGAATTTGAGGCTTTGGTGGTATATATATATATATATATATATATATATATATATATATATATATATATATTACACACTCGATTATGCTCTCACCTTGTGATGCAACAAAAAAATATTCATCTCAAAAATTTGCGTGAGATTTTATCCACAACAACACTCATCATGCAACCATCTTCTTAAACCTCTTCACTTTTTCTCTCTGCTTGAACAATCCTAATTTGTGTGGAAGTCGATCGATTTCGTGAGCCAGTCAACATTCTTTTTAAAGCTTATGAAAATACATATTTACAAAACAACAAATAGCTGTAGTTCAGCTGCAGTTGATTTGGTCTTCGTTAACAATTATCTCTTGACTAAAGATGAATAATGAGTCTCAGGCTAATAGTTATAGTTAAATTAATCACATGTGTGAATGTCAGATACACATTAAAAAAAAACTTATTTAAATTATTAACACATTGTTATATATTTTACCACTATTTTGCTGAAATGAATCATTAAGTCAACAAAATTGGCCAGCATTACACCAACCAAATGAAATTTCTCGTATACTACTCCCAAAAATGTTTAATTTTGTCTACTAAACCCCACTAATTGCCATTTATTTTGTAGTTCTCTAAATAGCCTTCAATGTTCCAACACCGGTGTAAATTTTTTTAACCATATGAGGGCAGGAATTGGAAACAAGCAGGAGTGTCAGCCAAACAATCACTAATATCTTAACTTTCTAGGAATATTTATTTTGTTTTGTAATTTAAAAAATATCACATTCTATTATTAATTAAAATGAAACTTGTATTCACTTTCAATGTACACCGTATTACATAGGTCAATGTAAAATTTAACCCACTTTGAATTTATGACTCAGTAATCGTCTCTTCAAAGATGGACATGCTTTCACCTTGTTATTTGTTCTAATTTGTGTAACACCCCATGTAACAGACTTAGATCAAACGGAAGAGTTGATAGGAATATCAGACGATAAAATCCAACAACAAATTGTTACACAAAACGACACTAATGTACGTATTGATACATATGATGAGGAAGTAACAAAAGATGAACTACTGAAAAGGTTTGTTGTTTATAAATTTTATACAATTTGTCTAGTTAATTACGTACAAGATATTCTATTCGTTTTATCATTGTTATTAAAACTAGTCAATCATTTTATATCTTTTGTACATTAGTTTTCTACTTGAATCAATCATACGACTGGTTTATCAATCAGCTTCAGTAGGCTCATATTTAAATTTCTAGTTTAGAAACGTGATCAGTTTTTTGATGTTTATGCATCTACCTAATGATTTACCATAAACACCTTAAACAGTCACCGGAAAAACCCTGAAATATGATAACTTTAAAAAAAATTCAGTAGGACGTAAACAACACAAGACTTGGAATACATATATATCAAATTAAGTTGTCACATTTGGGACAATTACAGTGAGAATGAACTGATAAGATTTATAGCAAAAAAGCATCAATAATACAAGAGACTAAACATAAAGAATACATTTCAAAAAAAGTAGTGAGATGAATTATATAAGTTGCAAATATTTAGGTCAAGATCCAATGTACTTATTAATCAAGTATCAACCAATGCATTTATCTACGACTTAATGGATTCATTCCGTATATTGGTTTAACCATCTAGCCGTTTTCCAACCAACTTATATTTTGAGAATCATAGCACGTCATGGTAAGTGAATGTTGAACATGCGTAAAGCTTATCTAATTACTTTAACTTAACTCACAACATAAAGTAACTGGTTCATTGTGAAAGAAAGAACAATAAGCAATAAAAACCCTAAATATAGTTACAGTAGTCTTTGTAAAGAATACAAACAGGTAAATAAAATCGGAAAGAAACATTAATTACTGTAAGTTAAGTAGATCTAATTATTCATATTTTCAGTTTCTTGTACATTTCAACAATTCCTCACCGGCCACAATGATAATGTGCATAATGTTGAGGATGATGCCATATCCCCAAATACAACACGGAGAACACCAGCTCAATTATACATGATCGAGAAACTCCGGAAGAGGTGCAAACTCCCACGTACATGGGCAGCATCATTCACAAACAAGGAGGATCAGATGCAGACGTAAAGGCAAGGATTAACAAACCAAGGGTAGCACCCCTACAGTTGAAGAATTTATGGAACTCAAAACAACCATCAACCAATATCAAAGTCAAAATCCTCAATACAAACGTCAAGACGGTTCTACTGTGCGGAGATAAAACCCCAACCATCATCAAAACAGTACAAGTACTTATAAATAATTGTCTACACATGATACTCAATGTCCGCTGACCGGATACCAACAGCAACAGCATACTGTGGGAGAACAAATCACCTTCCAGTCGAAGGGGAAATTAGGAAAAGACGTTGGAAGTGAATAGGACATATATTGGGAAGATCATCAAAATGCATCACGAGGCAGGCGCTAACTTGGGATCCTGAAGTGGAAAGGAAAAGGGGAAGACCAAAGAACACACTGTGTCGAGAATTGGAAGCAGACATCAAAAGAATAGAATCTGGAAAGGATTTCCCAGGACAAAGTTGGATGGAGAATGCTGGTGACGGCCCATATTCCTCCACGAGGAGTAACAGGCGTAAGTTAGTTAGTTATATTTTAACTCTTAGATTTAATTAAACTGAACAGACTTAAAAAATAATAATTTTAAAATAACGAGCTACTATTCGGTGATAAATAAATTTAATCATTTCAACAGATTGAAATTATTGGAAGCAGATATTGTCGGTGGTGAGCAAGCTGGAAATAAGGAGGTCAACGAGAAAATATCAAGGCGAAAAAAGTATGCTGAAGAACGAAAACGTCGATTAGTTGAAGCGAATACAAACCTAGAAGATGATGGCATAATGATAAATATTTATGAAACAATACAAGATGAACTATATTACAAGAATAAAGCTCTGCAGTCACAAAAACAAAAGGTAATATCTTTTGGTTGAAAATTCACTATGAGTAATGGAAATATATTTTCTTATTATTTTTCTCACCTCTCCCTTTCCTAGACATATAACCATTTATTCGGTTGTAAATGTGTGCATCTGATGTACAATGGAATATACAGACTTATGGTGCTATCATTTATTACGTATAGATATAAGTGCAGCATGTTAACTATGTTTGAAAATTCAGAATGTTATGAGCTTTTGCAGTAAAATTAGACGCTGTATTAGTTAATTGTAATGAAAATAGAGCCTAACACAAATGTATGTTGCACCAAGCCTCATACCACATTACCACGAAGAGATGTAATAAATCAAATTAAAATCAAAGTATTCGAAACGATCGTAATAACAGTGATAGTAAGAAAGACTTAACATTCGGGAGAAATGAACGTGTATGTATAAAGTACTACTTAGACTCAAGACGTAGAACAAGATGTACCTGTGCCATCGCGATCGATTCTGAGCCATGTCATCCAACGTCTCTAACAAGTAATCACAGTTATCTCTCGGACCCCAACCAGGTAGTCGCCATACATCAGAATTACTCATGCACAGTCAATGAGGACTCATGGAGTTATGGACAGCATCACTACCTTGGCCTTATACTCTATGCCTAAACGCGGCATTGCTCACCATATTCGAGGAGCGCTTCGAAAGCACCTATGATCACAAACCTGCAGCCCATGTATGTCCTCTGTTTTCACTGCCATAGAGTACTACAGAGAGGACGGCTGCACATTCAACTCATCTTCTGGTTCTCAGATGGGAAACTCACACCACAAGTGGCGTAAGTTGGCAAGGACCAATTGAATTTTATGAATCTATGCCATGATTTCATCAGATAGCATTGCATTAGGGGTGATGATACTTCGAGGATAAGTAAAATGGTCAAAGCACTCAACTATTTTACTCCATGTGATTAATCTAGGCAGTGACACAGACCAGTCTTGAAGCAACATTTTTCATTCAGGAGAAAAACGCATTAAAATTATGATTACTTTGTTACTCAAGGTGTCCATGAGGCTCTGTATCAATGTCTTCATCAAATAGGACTATATCATCGGCGTACTTTATGTCGATTACGAAGTTCCTAGGAGGAAGATCAGTTCCCGAAAAGTTAGATAAAAACATTTTGGGGGGGAACATCTTTGACGAAACTTTTAATAGAGGAGTATGGAGTAACATTGACGAACACCATTTGATATTGTCACTTTTGATAACTAATCCTCATAAGCTCCGATTCAACTAGTAGTGCTTGAGTAGAAAGCCTTTACTAGGCTGTATTTCTTTGGTACAGCTTTTACTGAAAAACACTCCTAAAACACCTTTTGGTCAAAAGAGTCGAACAATGCCCTAAGGTGAGGAAATATAATTATGATCAGGAGTCACCAAGTATCCCAATGTTCTACAACCTGAAGTGTGTACATTTGACCCATCTATAAACTAAATGTTAAACAATTATTCCCAAATTATAAAGCCTATCTTTTCAAAAACAAGTTGGTATTATCTGTTGATTGTATAAAAAGATATTGTTTCCTTATTGCTTCATAGACTGCTTAAACTCCAATATTGTAGTAAATTGATGAACAAATAAACAGACATACATCTTTTCACCTAAAACTTATTTTATACCTTCGGCTTTCATGTGCAGGTATATGCGTTACAAATGGAAATTAAAGATGTTCAATCAGAATTTGAACAAGATCGAAGTGACTATTTGGAAACTATCAGACGCCAAGAACAACAAATAAATTTGCTTAATATGATTTTAGAAAAGGTTCAGCCATGCATACGCAGAGATAGCAATTATTACAACATCGATAAAATCAAACGAACAGCCATGTAAGTGTGGATTTTTTCACATATTTATATGAAATGACTTTCAAGAGGAATGACTGGAGATCCAAACAAGACCACGTATTAGTTGTCAGATGTAAGACGGTACCCAACAACCGCTCTGGATCGACATTAAGTTTAAGAGTAGGAAGCTTCTCGATCTTTTTGCTTCTACAAGAAGATATCCCAGTCTTCAAAGGCTAGTCTTCAACTGGATGCGGCTTTATTTGGTACTACATAACTTATCTTGCTCCTAATACAGGTGAGATACCCAACGGCATCAGTTGAGCACTGATTAAATCCATATAACCCGGGGACAGTGGAATGTAGTCATTTGAAATAGAACATGTTATATATCGCAAGTATACTCCAGTAGATATAACTGAAACCACTAGCTGAGTGATAAAGAGGTTAGGAGGAGATTTATTGGTAAAGAAGTAGATAATTCAATCGATTAAGTTATGACCCTAAAACTATTGGAGTAGCTGAGTAATATGCTAGGTATGCATATTACATTCATGGATATATATATATATATATATATATATATATATATATATGGCCACGCTGAAAACTCGTTAAGATGACAGAACCCACCGAGTTGTTGACCGTTGATACAAGTTGTAAGTCCTCAAGTGGAGTCCTTTGGATGATAGATACAAATGACTAAATACTAGACGCCAAGTCGAAACCGACTGTAGTAATCAAACGACTCCGTTTATTTCTTTCAACTCTTAACTATTTTCACAGGATATTCGCTGTTTTCTTGTTACAACAGGTACTGTTTAATGTTTGTGTTATTTCACAATAATAATAACAGACTTTTATGTAATGTTTTCTGTTGGTGCTTTTCTGTCTAAGATGGTGGTTGGAGGTAGTCAATAGGAAACCCTGGACCCGGGTTTCGTGCTATTTGGCACTCGTCAGCAAGGTGTACCAGTAATTTTGAGGGAACTGGTGCTCCCCGACGGATTCGACCCCGTGTCACCCAGCTTCACTGTCAGAAACGTTACCGCTGGGCTATGCGGGCCGCTAGTGACCTCCTGTAGGACTAAGATGTATATACAACTGATTGATTACTGGGTGATGATCAATGTCATGTGTGTCAGGTTCTTCTTCGAATGCTATCGACCAAGTTGCTTTTCTGTCAAAGTTTACTATTTTTCAGGAGCACATAACCTACATATATAACTAGGACTTTAAAACTTAATTAATACATTTCCGTATTCTTACGAACAGTTAGTATCAGAAATTCAAGACAGTCCTAAGGAAACAACGCCTTGTCGACTATGATCTTAGCATTTGTATTTACTTGAGCTTAAATAGCTTATTTCATGACTTGTAGTGTATCGTACTTATGCTGATAGGTATAAATAGTATGTAGCACAAATCGAAAGTGGAATGCCTGACAGCAGAAGATTGAATTGAAGACAATAGGAAGGGAAAGCAAGAGAAGAAAACCGATAGCAATCAATGTAACAATATAAGTGAATGAACGATGAAGTTTGTAAGAGGCATTTCAAAGATGTGCGAATGATGCATTTAGTGACTGATTTTCATACTTTACCAAGGCACTGTACGATTTGTCATCGAACAATAAATTGGTCATCATTAAGTCACCGTTCACTGTAGACTCCTCAATTTCAGTGTATCTAACGGCCTTTGTCTATCCATAAACTAGTTTTTACCGGTATACATTTTATCTCTCAACCAACCATTTAGTCATAATATCTAAAGCATGTTTACAGATGTTCACAGTAAACCTATATCTTACTGAAATTGAGATGGGCATAGGAAACTGATATTAATTTCCATAGGAATTCATAAATCACTTGTATCTCCTGGAACCGAACTACTTAAAAAATACAAAAAATTCCTGTTCAAACTGACTGTATTTATTTTCGACTTATCTAATATTTTATGTTCTTTTGAAGTTAAGTTTGGAGTGCACCAAATATTTTTTATAAAACAAAAATAGATTTGATGCAGAAAAGAATGAATGGATTCTACCACAAATGGTCATTGAACATACACAATTGCCTTCAGTGAATTCAGACAATTTGTCTAATCGATATGACTCAAATTATGAGACTGCAGATGGTAACGCAGAATATGATGCAATAAAGGATTTGAAATGGGCCAGTAAAAAAGAATCTAGACTGCACACTAAACTAAATGATCGGATACCAAGTAATTATTTCGCGAGCCGACGTGCAGATCAAATATTACGTAATGCAGGTAACTTAATATTATTGTCACTATAGTTAAAGACCTATCCATTCTACATAGCTAAAGACCTGATAGTCTATAAATCCAGTTTCAGTAACCAAAGACTTGCTTCGGTTTGGGCATCCGGGCAGTATCACGGCCCTCACACATATCAAATGAGATCTGTGGGGCGCATATGTATTTGGTGCCTCATTGTACCAATATCTATGTGTTAAAATAATAAATAAAAAAACCAAAGACTTCCAGCAGATAACATAATTAGGAAATAAGTACCATAAAAAACAAGATTTCCTCAAAATAAGCTATCAAATAGTCGCTCATATCTCATGTCCTGTCCCGTTTAACAATAACATGCAAGGCGAAAGTCAGATTGAACAAAAGTCTAAAATGCGAAAATTACTGTACTATTTGTGGATACTCAACTTTTATATGATTACCATAAGTATTTATTAAGTTCCGATGGCTTTCAGTAACCGTTGATGACATAAATGTCTGTAGTGTAAGTCACTGAAATCGAAACAAGTTTAAAACATTTTAATAGTTAGAATGTTTGGTAAAAAGACTAATTAAAATATTTATGGTCAACTAAAACATTAATAAGGAATTTTAAAAAATTTCTAATACTACGACTTCCCGTGAACAATGAGTAACTCAAATGGTATTAAGAAATTTAACACGACTTATGAATTAATTCAATCCGTTTCGAATGATAAAATTATTAGCTTTACTTTTAACTTCATACTCTAACTAAATGGGACCTCCAAATCTGAGCGAAAGTACGGAATACAATAGATAGTTTGGAAACAACTAGACTTCACGAATGACCTAGCCCTTCTACTCATACGTACCAACAAATACAGAACAAGGCAACCGGTATAGCAAAAGCCTCTGCATCACTAGGCCTTAACATACACAAGAGAAAAAGCAAGATGCAGACGTAAAGGCAAGGATTAACAAACCAAGGGTAGCACCCCTACAGTTGAAGAATTTATGGAACTCAAAACAACCATCAACCAATATCAAAGTCAAAATCCTCAATACAAACGTCAAGACGGTTCTACTGTGCGGAGATAAAACCCCAACCATCATCAAAACAGTACAAGTACTTATAAATAATTGTCTACACATGATACTCAATGTCCGCTGACCGGATACCAACAGCAACAGCATACTGTGGGAGAACAAATCACCTTCCAGTCGAAGGGGAAATTAGGAAAAGACGTTGGAAGTGAATAGGACATATATTGGGAAGATCATCAAAATGCATCACGAGGCAGGCGCTAACTTGGGATCCTGAAGTGGAAAGGAAAAGAGGAAGACCAAAGAACACACTGTGTCGAGAATTGGAAGCAGACATCAAAAGAACAGAATCTGGAAAGGATTTCCCAGGACAAAGTTGGATGGAGAATGCTGGTGACGGCCCATATTCCTCCACGAGGAGTAACAGGCGTAAGTAAGTAACCCTAACTTAAGTTCTTCACGAATAAAGTTGGGAACAACTGTGGCTCTAACACAAGTCTGATGAGTATGTTATGTGATCTGCTGCTCGCAACTTGAAAAATAGGTACCCAGCAACCAACCTGATCAGTTTTACCACGGAATAGTAGCATTTTTCCAAGAACTTGAGCAGAAAAAACGGGCGTTACCTTTCCTTAACTTTTGTTTATTCGGAAACAAACTAAAGTGCCTAAAAGTTCTAGACGTGGTCAACAAATTTACACACCTGTAAATTATGATAGTTAGTGGAACAGTGTGAATGCATTGTACAATACTAAATTAAGAATGTATGCTCTTTGAGTAATGCCATGAAGCGGTAATTATTTGAATTTTTGAATTATTAGTAAAGAATCTCCGTCTCCTACACATAGTGTCCGATAGAAAAACTAAAAGCATGAGATTATCAATGATTAAGCAGAAACTAGGGACACATTCACTAATATGCACTTATATAATCCTGCTAAGTTTAGGTTGATCAAAAGGTTAATGAATGTCGAGATGACGAACTACTTCATTTCAGGGAGGAACTTTTAAATGCTTAGATTTCTTCGAAATAGTACCAGGAGATAAAAACAAGACAGAAAATCAATTTTATATACAATTTCATTCACAAGATGATGCGAAAGATACTAACCTTTTTATCGTGCTAAACACAGCTCTAAGTTACTTCATAAATACCACTGATGTACGTCTAATTACTTTCAAATACACAATTTCACACACTAATCAAAAAACAAACATTAGATAAATAAATAAGGAGTTTAAACTAAATCACAAGTATTCCCATCTGGCTTTACCATGACATATAAGAAATGCAATAAATGTGACGTTTGGGGTAAACATGATGTATAACCGTAATCCAATACATACTCAGTCTGCGATCAAATAACTTTAATAGTTTCGATACTATCTTATCTTACAGCAATAGTAAATTAACACATTGCAGAATGATATGCACATAACTTTATGTTCAGAAAGATAATGTTGTAATTTTAATATAGTTTTTCGCCTTCTATTTGCTGCAGGATCTGAATCTGAAAGATATAGATCGAGCAATCACACGGCTAGACTGAATAATTTCTCTTGTGCACTGACTACTGGTAACACAGAATCAGCATCGCTTTCGTCTTGTGAAGTCAGATCAAGTGTGGATACATATTTGCATTGCCCGGACGTAAGGAAAAAACCAATGAAGTTAAATCCCATGTCTGAATTCGCACTCAATTCTACGCATGTTTACGGACAACAGTCGCTTGAAAAAGTAAAATGGCATTCGAAAATATAGAGGCAATTATTGTTCAATATATCATAAAACACAACTGAGTATCGGAAACATTCTCCAATGATGATATTTAGGACTATTTTAGGAAAAAACTTATGATGTTACATCTACATAGTCATAACATAAAATAACTAAATACATTTTAAAATACAAGCCATTGTAGATTTTTGTTTTAAAAAAAGAAAGATCTTGGGTTTCCCCTAAACTTTACTTCCTAATTTCCCGGTTAAGAGTATAGAACCTCAGAAGTCACACTAGGATCCCAAATCAAAGCAGTTTCAACCACATTTTTTTAGAGTTGAATAATAAAAACCACGTTTTGTTAGGTGCGCATTCTGAGAACGAAATTCGTCACCACAGGAGTTAAATAAAAATGGGTTGTGTAGAATGTGAGTCTGTAATACTCTAGTTAGCGTAGAAAACAAATTTTAACGGAATGTCGAACAAAACTTAGTTATTTAGCTTGAAGATTAAGATTTGTCAAAACCTTCTAGGACACACTTGAGATATATGTTTCCTAAAAGATAAAGGGAAGTTTGAAAAAGGTAATAAAAATTTATACACATCATTCAACCAGATGATAATACTCTGTGTGAATAATTTCGTTACATTTTTTGGAGAACACAGAAAATATATTAAGTTAGCTGCGAACTATGGAATCAGATGATGAAACTAGTCTGTGGTCCATCAGCTCCCTAATTTATGGTTTAAGCTTTGTGATCCTCTCAACCTCACAGTTCAAAATTGTCGAAATGAGGACAGATAGTGTTTCATTTAATATAATCTACCAGAATAGCTCAAACCATCTAAGAGCACACTCAACATAGAAAACGAAATCGACATTTGAAGAAACACCCAAATGATTTTCGAACGCTTTGTAATAACAATTGTACCTCAGATTTTATATAAGGATCAAACCGATGACTCAGGTTACAAGTGAATGAAGCTTTGTTACCGTTATCTACACTCAGCAGTTCACAAACGTCTCCAATTACTACCAGAGAACACTATTGAAGAATTCTATATCTCCCTACATATACCATCTAAATTGACTGATTGGGAACGGAATTTCAGCTAAGATGACTGCAAGAGGAGAGACTCAGATAACTGGGTAGTGAATCTACAGTTGACAAGGCAACGATAAGCTATATAAGCCCACCAAAATAAACTGGACAGTAGTAACAAAACAAACTAGGAAAGCGGTGTATCTACAGATAGGAAGTATAGGTTAGTCATTATAAAGCCGTAATGACAGGAAGAACAAGTTATTACTTTTGTTACATTAACAACTCAAAACCAATTCTTAATGCAGTTGATATATATTCTTCATTCTGAATAAATCAAAACAAGTTACTGGATTTCACTCTACATCTTGACCTCCGTTAGCAGTTTCGTTTACTAATACTGTCCCACTAGTGAGCTTGATAAGGTCGCCGAAGCAAAATATTTAATCAAAAATCATAAAAATAACACAAGGAAAAAGATGCTTAAGCTAATAACAAAATACATGACTTCATGTTTAAACGAATGGAACTTACAATATAAAAAACTAAGTGTAAAGAAGTTATTGGATAAATAAAGTGAACAGAATAAGTCAAAACTATGGTACAAAACCTAGGATCTCATAAATAAATTGTATAAAAACTATTTCCTTAGCTCAAGGTTCACACGTTAGATGAGTTTAATGTGTTTAAAGTATCAGTAGTTGAAGGATTCGTAATAGTTGGCAACTCGATGATCACACTGGATTCATCTGACTTGTTGTTATCCGTCTTTTGTGTGTCATCAGCATCGATCAAGCTTGGCCATTCGATGACTTCAGTTGGTGTCCTTGAAGAAACACCAGCTTTTGTGAAGCGTTCATTTAGAGCTTTCAGAGCAATCCGCCTAAAGTAATAATCATAATGTAACGGGTAGAAAGGGAGGGAAACAAGAATTACACTATAGAATATATGTGAATAAATAACAGTAGTAATACCTAACAGAAATAAAGTAATATGAAAAATAATGATAATAATTAAAAAAACAATAATAATAATAACCAGCACGATTTATCCCCCCCCCGGTATCTGGAGACCCCAATCCTACTTCCTGTGGACTCGCTGGTGTATGTATAGTAATTGGTTCAAAAGCAGAGTAGGATCTGTTAGACAGTCACTTGTGCACCGCCTGACTAAACGGGACAGTAAAAACTCGGGAAAATGGGGACACAAGCCGTTGCCTTTTCGTGTTCTCTGCCTAACTCACCGTGATCGCAGCTCGGATGAAGTTACAGATGAATTTTATGGGAAGCTATCCAACCTCATCCACAAACCTAAACGCAAGTGACGAGTGACTCAAATCCTCAAGTAGGTAAAACAAACCAAACTGAAAGGCACTTGGGTGGATCATACGGTGTTGCAGCTCAGCGAACAGATAATGGCGAACGTCTATTGCAATTATGTTCAGATAACTCTATTTTTAGCAAAAACATAACGAGAAATCGTCAGACGTGGCGACTCCCACATCCGACTCATAGACGGACTCAAATAGATCACACTGCATCAACCATCGTTAGAGGGGTTCGGCATAAGACTATCATTCGCTCTGAAGCACATGTTTGAACTTGGACCATGATCTGGTTCGAGCACATATTTGTCTGCTTCTTACCGAACGTAAAAAGCCACAGCAAGAAACCCCCTTAGAGTTCAACTGCAACTAGACGTAATCCCATTTGACTGACCTTGATCGCTAATCGTCCCAGTTTATAAGAAACGACAAAAACCCTCTCGTGAAAATCACAGAGGAATCAGTCCAACTAATAGTGTCTAAAATATTAGCAGCAATAATACTTCGATATTTATCTAGAGCTCGTGAAGAAAAAATCGTAGGAAACCATGCTGGCTTCAAACCTGGACGTGGATGCATAAACTAAATATCCAACCTTCGGCAGGTTCTGGAAAAAAGACATAATTTCCGACATCCGATTAATCGTATTCCTTTACCTTAATGTGGCATTCGAATAAATTGATCGTTAGGTTCTGTGCAGTGTCTGTTGTTGAAGGGTGTAGCAAAGAAGTACACTAATCATGTACAGGCTCTCTACTCGAACACTACTGGTCGTAAGAGCTTATGGGAAACTTTCATCGGAATTGATTACTTCAAGTGGTGTTCGTCAGGGTTGTCTGCTCTCCTCATTTTTATTCAACTCTGTCATAGACATGTTTTCAGAGACTACACTTTCATCATCTGACTTTCCACGTATGATCTTCTACCAGGAAGTTCACTTGTTGATTTAGAATACGCAGATAATATAGCTGTTTAGTGAAGACACGAAATGCAGTCATTAGACCAGCTTAACAACAATCCAAGTATGTTTGGGATGTGGTTCTCTCATTTTAAATACAAGACCTTACTTCAAGATTGACTTGCGTCATCGCCTGAATTAGTGATAGAGAGTGAAGTAGTTGAACGCATCCACCAATTCACTTATCTTGGGAGTCTCATCAGTACTGCTGGTCTGGTGTCTGGCGAAATCTCGGCACAAATCTAGAAGGCTCTGTTGGCTTTTGCTAACTTGCGCCATTTGTGGCGTACACAAGATATTCGTCTTTTAACCAGAGGGTGAGTTTATTGCTCAGCAGTTCGCTCCGTTCTACTTTATGGATATGAAAAACGGCCACTAAGAATAAAGGATATTCGGAGATTACTGGTATTCCATCACGGGTTTCTACAAAGCATTGCTGGTGTATTTTGGGGCCACAGAGTGAGTAATTCCTACGTTAAGGATAGAGCACTAGGTAAAAACTGGAAGCTGATTGACGAGGTGGAAAAACTTCATTAAATGAAGTGTGGTTGGGACATGTGTTACTTATGCCCAACCACTGCCCACCTCGACGGGCGGTTTTCTGGTGCGGAAGAAGGCTGAAAAAGAGCTAACGGCGGCCAAGTCAAAACATAGCATCAATTCATGAAATCACTGACAAATGGACTTAGCCGTGTTTATGGATATAGGCTACCTGGTTGTGGTCCGCATGATTATCGTAACCAATAGTTAGAGACTTCGAACGACACGACTCCAAATTGTTTGAAATGGCGCATATTCATCCATTTTTTGTCTTTCCCTAAATTCTGAAATTCTACATTTCTCATAGCTATTTTTGCTTTTATCTCACTGACTTACGTTTCTTTGTCGAGTTGTATATTCGTACTGTTACTACCTATAATATTCTGGAATTCGACCCGACAATTTCATATTTATGTGTTAATGGGTTATGGCGATTTGAACAGATGTACATACGTACCAAGTTCTACGTTGTAACCGACTGACCACTACATTGATCTTCTGAATAGTACGAGGACAAGTTTATTCTAATCAGTCACTACATCCGACAGGCTTGGTTTCTTTCACAACCTACAAAAGTGTCTAACAGCACGACACTGACTGCTGCACGAGAGAATCGATGCTACTACAGTTTAAAAATACTAACCTGTCTGTGATATCGAAGAGTCAAGGTTAATTTATTAAAATAATTTGCGAGTTAGTTTGGTCAAGTTAAATGTTGATCACTCAGAGCATAGCTTCTTCTTGGGGTAAATAAACGAGAAACGTACGTACATTTCAGAATGCGTGGTAATCCTTAAGAACCAATAAAAGCATAGAACCCAAACCCACTTAAATACTACTACTTAAAAATAAAAACAAAGGGTTGTGGTTACAGAATAATATGACGAAGTAACCATACACACGTCCAACTGCTATAATGAGGCACAAGTTATTTGAGAGCAAATTAAAAGGAAGAAACAAAAAACTGTCAATCTTCGGTCAGTCAGTCACTAACAACGTGGAACTTCGTACATACGTACATCAGTTCGAGTTGCCATACCACATTAGCACAGAGATGCAGTCATCGATTCAAATCCCACAGTGGTAGAGATACTAAAAGTATAAGTAGTGATAGGGAACATTATGGTTTGATGATGTTATTCAAGGAATATGATCCAGTGGAATAAATTTGGAAAGAAAATAAAGGACATGAAGAATTTAGATTAGAGTTTGGGAGAACACGAAGAGTAGATGCACCTGCGCCATTGCAAACGATTTTGAGCCATGTCATTCAAGGTCTCTAACCGTCCGTTGATATCATATCTCGCGGACCCCAACCAGGTAGTCTACACCTACCAACATGGCTCATTCCACTTGCCAGTGACTACATGGATTTGTGCCATGTTTTGGTCTGGCAGCCCCTAGCTTTCTTCCAACCTACTCCTACACATCGCACGTCGGGGCAGTCGGTGGTCGGGCATACGTAACACATGTCCCAGCCATCTCAACTGATGAAGTTTCACTACTTCATCAATTGATTTGCCATCCTTACCTAGTACCCGCTTCCTGACAACTGCATTACTTACTCAGTGGTCCCAGGATATACTAGCAATGTTTTGAAGACATCTATGATCGAATACTAGTAACCTACGAATATTCTCTACTCTTACCGGCCATGTTTCACTGCCATAAAATAGGACGGAACGAACTGCTGCGCAGTAAACACGTCCTTTGGTTGGTATATGGATATATCGCCTACGCCATAAATGACGCAAGTTGGCAAAAGCTAGTCGAGCTTTTTGTATCCGTACTGAGATTTCGTCACACACCAGACAACAGGGACTGATGAGACTTCCAAGATAAGTGAAGCGGTCGACACGCTCAACTACTTCACTCCCTACCACTAGTTCGGGTGTCGATGCAACCCAATCCTGAAGCAACATTTTGCATTTCGAGGGAGAATCGCAGGCCGAACATGCCTGCATTGTTGCTTAGCATGGTCATCAGACTGCATTTTGTCAGCGTCTTCACCAAATAGAACTATGTCATCGGCAAATCCTAGGTCAAAAAGTGAATTTCCCGGTAGAAGTTCAATCCCTGGAAATTCAGATGTGGAAAGTGTCATATCTAAAAGCACGTCAACGACAAAGTTAAACAAGAATGGAGAGAGTGGACAGCCCTGACGAACACCACTTGAAGTAATCAGTTCTGATGACAGTTCGCCATAAGCTCTCACTCGACCAGTTGTGTTCGAGTAGAGAGCCTTTATAAGGTTAATGTACTTCTTTGGTACTCCTTTCAGTGACAATCACTGCCACAGAACCTCAAGATCAGCAGCGTCAAATGCCGTCTTAAGGTCGAGAAATGCTACTATTGTGGGGCGTCTCAATGTGTGTCTATGTTCTAGAACATGACGTAGTGTCAATATTTGGTCCATACAACCACGTCCAGGTCGAAAATCAGCCTGGTTTTCTCTAGCCTGCTCTTCACGAGCTTTGGTTAGACGTCGAAGTATTTTGAAGCTAATATTTTAGACACTATATTAGTCAAATTAATTCCTCTGTGATGGTCACAAGAAGACTTTTGTCCTTTCTTATAGACTGGCACAATCAGTGATTGAGACCAGTCAGATGGGATTACGTCCAGTTCCCAGATTCTACCTAAGACCTCAGTCAATCTCGCTGCTAATACTGGACCGCCATCGTTAAAAATCTCAGGGGTAAACCTGTCAGGGCCTGCTGCTCTCCCACGCTTCAGATTTCCTATAGCTTTTTCATCTTCGTAAAGAACTAGAATAGTCAGTAGATAAAAATGTCGACATTATTAATACAGTAGCCTATCGTCCACTAAATAATATTTACACTAGCGAAACTTACCGATGCCGTTCTGGATCAGAAGATATTCCATGTGGGCCAAAGGTCAATAAAGGTTCTACAGTAACTTCACTTTCTCTTTTTAGTCCAGGACAAAATTTGGTTCGAAGTAGAAGTTGATAGAAAATGTTGGAAGGAATAGAGACTATTTTGTCTATTGGCTCGGGGAAGAGTCTAAGAAAAAAAATAAAATTGTCCATTGTATTGATGTTTATACGATAAGCAATATATAGATATGAAGTTTAGCAGTCGCATTAGCCCACTTATCTTTTTTCAGTCATAAATTCTCAATGAGAAAGCAAACAGCCAAAACTATGCTCATTTTAAAAAACATCATAAAGATATCGAACGAGCCGAAATATTCACTATAAAAATAAATATAGTAACAGAATTGCACGTTTCAGCATTTCCACATTATATGAACAAGAGTTCGGTTTGGCAATAAAATGAAAAAAATGCGAATTCGTTGTGTGGAAACTCCCGTCTGGATTCGCACAAATAATTTCACAACGGTTTGATGTTGAGTTTATGAAAGGGATTAACATGAAATTGTATCTCAAAATTTTTAGCAACTATCATTAAAATAGCTTGATACCTTACTAAACATATTTTAGGATAGAAACCAATGGTGACCCTGCCGTTGTTTTTTATTAGTTTCATAAAATTGATATCACTAATATGAACTGGAAGAAGTCTTTCTTGGTTGTATTCTAGCTGAACTTTATGACTGAGTGACTGTTGTTATTGACTGATTTTACTACCCTTCTTGCATTTACTTTTTATAATATTTGTGGTGTATTTCTTACGAGTGTCCTAAAGTACCGTAATTCGTTGTTTATATGAATAAAATAATGAGTGCCTTATGATAAGAACTTCTGAAATGTACTCGGATGGCGAATGATTAATAGGAAAGATATCGCCAAAATAAAACTATGGGGACAATTGAAAATCAATTTTGGGTCAGGTAAACACATTAAATTAGAAAATGACTAATCATTCCGAATGTCAGATTCGACAGATGAAAACAAAGTTTTAACCTACACATAAATAGAAAGGTTAACATTAACAAGTTAAGCAAGCCGCATAATGACGGGTGCACAAACTTGGCAGAAACACAGGCGGGTATAGTGACATACTAGTTTCACCGGATGACAACCAACTAAAAATAGTGCAAATATGGGATCAAAATTTATTCAAACCTGGCGAAAGTGAATACTGAACGATAATCGCCTCTCCTTCCTTGTGGATGACGTTGCAGAAAGCGAAGGTAGCACCAACTACACAGGATGCCATAACAAAAAAGAATAACAGAAGAGAGCCTGATAAACCCTACTATCCACAAACACAAAAATATAATCGACACAGCGGGAAGACCATGTTGAGATTTAAGGTTGGAACCCCTGATATTTACAAGTGGTTGATCCGTACTTAGTTGGATAAGAACTACGAGTACAGAAGACAAAAATGCAGAATTCCCATTGACCGGTTTGATAAAAATGCCATTACCAAAGAAAATCGCTGGGAAAATCGCAAGTATTCCGGCACTTGTATTCACAAACCAATAGTAGAATAATATTTCAATTTTGCTCCATACGTGAAATACAAGCTTTGCATAGATAAAAATGGCCAAAATTGTAAAAATGAAAACACAGATCTCATCTGTCACTAAGTGGAAAGTGAAAAGCCTGTGAATGTCATGTATACTCGAAAAAGGTAGAGACAGTAAATCTACCGCCGATGGAACGAACAACCCGAAAATAAAGGATGAAATATAAAATATGCAAAGAAGTGATTGAACATGAAGAAGCCTCAAAGATGTTAATCGCACCATCAAATGACCAAATAAGCCCTCAGTCGTAAACACGGGTAGCTAAACAGCCTATATTAACTTCCGAAACCTTTACGACAGATACAACCTCCACTTGAAGCTGCCTACAGACGATGATTTAACGCTAGCAATACCGCCGCGGTTAACGAAACCTTGTGAAGTGGCGCACTATAACTAAACCTGAAACGTATGCTTACGAAATGTAAATCTTTTGGTCCATTAGGATAACAATATCATTTTCTTAGAAAATAGGCAACTACTTATGTCGTGGAATAGACGTCGTTTTTCACATGCTTTGTGCTTAATCTTAGTTATTTTGACTTTTATCCAAGATCCTGGAGACTTAGCTTTTGACTTATAAAGATAGGTGTTTCGATCGATTTGGAGATGAAACTTGTTCCGGGACAGATTTGATCGTTCGTACTGATAGATGAAGCCACATTCACCAAATCAGAATAATTTTTCAAATCTCTGTAAAAGCGAGTAATTATTCCTTCATTCAACGATCTTTCATGTCTAGCGCTCAGGGATTACCAATGTCTTTACCAAGGTACATAGAGTGACTTAGTAGCCTCAAGTTATTCACTTTAAATACGGAGATCATACTGCAAAGTAAACCTGCACTTTTTTTAAGTAGTATAAACCAACAGAATCACATGATAATTAATTGTTACTTTGATCCTGCTGGCTATTCCGTTAACCCTTACTGACTTCTGCTATCCTATATCTATACGCCTGTAAGGATCATACTTACTCAGACAATAATTCGTCTAACAATAAATTGATACATTAATCCATACAGTTCATAATTCGTGAAATATCTATACTATTACACGCTTCGATGGCTGAGTCAGATTTCCTGATATCAATCCATCCTAATGTACTTCATATCAGACTTCTAATAGATCGCTTTCAGGTGTATTCAGGCATGCGAAAGAACTGTTTTTAGTAGTAAGTAACGTTAAAAGGAGTCTGGAACGGTTGAGGCTGGACTAAACTACCAATAGGAAAGCAGAAGAATAGAAGTGTTAGGTAATCAAGTGCGTCAGAAAGTTTTGTACGGAACAGAAATTTTAGCCAAGCTGTCTACCATATCTGGATGCAATAGATCACTAAAATCTCTAGTTAGAGTATACGAAAAGAAGCAAAGATATAAAAGGTTTAGGCAAGCTCACGTGGGACGCACTGCTTTTCCTTCTAAAAAAGTTTTTTCTTGTGATACTGTATAAATTAATCGGACTTCTTATAGCTGTGAGAAATTTCAATAAATGGTTATCAACAAAATGTAGTTGTTGTAACTACAACCCAACTGAGAATCCTGAACTCTCAGTTTGTAAATATACCCTCTTACGCTGATGATATGATCAATAAGCACTTTAGATTACGTCATAGTGTGTTCATAATGTTGTGTCCAAGTTAGGTCATATCCTTTGCTTTACCACTCACAGTCAGTCAGTCAATCAACTGCAACGTATAGCCAGGCACATATAAGCATCGGTTGTGGTCACGCTCCCAAGTCATTAAGACCAACTCTAACCCTATTTCCTTTTCTAGTACTTATAGAAGAACCCTTCAGCAGCATGGGCAACAAAGAAGTGATAGCCTTCCTCAGACTTATAACAGCGTCTCAAAGCGGCCCAAGTGAATTTCAATCTGGTGCACCAAAGTGGTTTGGTGACCCACTAAGTGTTTCCATGCTTTCACGTTGAATGAATAAAACTGATAAATATAGATGCGACTCTTACTCTCAAACCAACAACTATGTTTCGGAATTGTTGCTCTCAGATTCAAGCGGAAACAACTTTCGTCAGAGCCTTTGAATTCAGATCGTACAGAGATAAAATATACGTCTCTTATATCAAAGCCTGTGAAATACAGGTACTCGAATTTTGTGTATAATATCCATCATGCTGTACATAAGCCGTATCGCACATCCACAATCACATTTTAACCTAGTACTACCTTTTAAAATCTGAATTTGAATGACATTCTCTGGAAGTTGTTGTATATCTTAATTGTTTAATTGCAGCCCTAATTCTCCCAAAAATTTTACTTCGTCATAAAAAATGTTTTCGGAGGGTAGCACTATAAAAATGCCTTCTTTTCAAAATGAAGAGATTCCATGGGTTCCCTTGGGGTCCGTATGATCTGGCACTTTCCATGGTAACACTTGTGCTCCCTGGTCTTACTCGCTTATGTCACAATGCAATCAGCCACTTTTATATTAAATGATGCGATAATCGTCTATTTGCTGACTAGTTAATATCCGTATACAACGACAGCAGAGTCCTCATTGGCAGACGAGTTTCTTCCAGCCACTAAATACTGTAACCTATTAACTTATGGCTCAAAACTCCTGCTATAAAATGCCTCAAAGACCTGGAGACACAACATTACGAATGAGAAATAACAACGTTTACACTACTCAGTTGTAAGTGATACATAAACAAGGCAATAAATGGATGTTTGATTGATAAAAAACTAAAGTTTTAGTCACAGGACAATTGTTTTGTGAACTGCCGTTTTATATTTTAACGACGAAACAAAAATCTCTGTCGATCCAAGCAAAGCGATGATATTAGTGTCCAAATGGGGATTGCCTCGGAAGGAATAATGTAAACTCATTATTTGATAACGTGGAGTGAGATGACAGCAGTAATGCTTGCTCTACAAAAGGTTTCCCTTTTTTGCCACATAATACTGTGTGCGCTTGATATTTCTTCAAAGAATGCTAGTCAAAAAAGGAATGTCAACAACCACTATATGAATACATCAATTACATATACTTATACGCTAATTAATATCAGACTCAATGAACTGGCTCCGCCTGGAGCCCCTTTCCGGGGGCTACTGCCGGTTCCAAGCCCGGATAAAGGAGGAGGGTTGGGCATGGGGTTAGCGACCGCATCCCGTAGAAAACTAACTCGCTAAAAAAACGCTAACCAGAAAAAATTATTCAAACCATTCAAACTCTGCCCTGGGAGTCAGGAGGTCTTCGTTTAGAAGAATTATGACGCCTCATGATGAAAGCCGAGTTTCTTTGGAAGTCACGAGGCCGATGCCCCTTCTGACAACCAGAGCAACCATTTATTTAGGTACATGGAATGCTCGCACAATGTGGGAGACTGGGAGAGTTTTCCAAATTGCTGCAGAAATGAGGAGATACAATTTAGAGGTGCTTGGGATCAGTGAAACACATTGGACGCAAGTTGGACAACAACGACTAGCTTCAGGGGAGCTGCTGTTATACTCCGGACATGAACAAGAAAATGCCCCACATACACAAGGAGTTGCATTGATGCTGTCCAAACAAGCACAAAATGCACTTATAGGATAGGAATCTCATGGACCAAGGATCATCAAAGCCTCCTTCAAAACAAAGAAAACGGGGATTACAATGAACGTCATCCAATGCTACATGCCTACCAACGACTACAATGAAGACGCTAAAGATCAATTCTACGAGAGGCTGCAGTCAATCGTCGAGAAGTGCCCAACTAAAGACCTGACTATTCTGATGGGAGACCTAAATGCCAAGGTTGGAATTGACAACACCGGATATGAAGAGATCATGGGACGACACGGACTGGGAGAAAGGAACGAAAATGGTGAGAGATTTGAAAATCTATGTGCCTTCAATAAACTGGTCATAGGCGGGACTATATTCCCACATAAACGCATACACAAAACCACATGGACTTCACCGGATCACAAAAATTTAATACGTCTCTTCTTCGGGATACTGACGATGGAGGACGTGAGAACCAAGAGAGGAGCTGATATAGCATCAGATCATCACTTGCTGGTCGCCAAGATGAAATTGAAACTCAAGAAGCACTGGACAACGAGGAGGACAATATCACAAAAATTTAATACGGCTCTTCTTCGGGATAATGACAAACTCAATAAATTCAAGATAACCCTCAGCAATAAGTTCCAAGCCTTTCATGATCTACTCAATGGAGAAGGAACTACTATGGAGAGCAACTAGAAAGAGATAAAAGAGGCAATCACTTCAACATGTCATGAGGTTCTGGGCCAAAAGAAGCACCATCACAAGGATTGGATCACGGTCGATACACTGGATAAGATTCAAGAAAGGAGGAACAAGAAAGCAGCAATCAATACCAGTCGAACAAGAGCAGAAAAAGTCAAGGCACAGGCTGAATACACAGAAGTAGACAAGAAAGTGAAAAGGAGCATCAGAACTGACAAACGTAAATATGTGGAAGATTTAGCAATGACGGCGGAAAAGGCTGCCAGAGAAGGAAACATGAGACAACTGTATGAAACAACAAAGAAACTCTCTGGAAATCACCGTAAACCAGAACGACCAGTGAAAAGCAAGGAAGGCAAGATAATCACCGACATTGAAGAACAACGAAACAGGTGGGTAGAACACTTCAAAGAACTCTTGAATCGAACAACCCCACTGAACCCACCCAACATCGAAGCAGCACTCACCGACCTCCCAATTGATGTTGGCGCACCAACAATTGAAGAAATCAGCATGGCTATCAGACAAATTAAGAGTGGCAAAGAAGCAGGACTAGACAGCATTCCAGCAGAGGCACTGAAAGCAGACGTAGCGGCAACTGCAAGGATACTCCAAACTCTCTTCAGAAAGATCTGGGATGAGGAACAGGTACCAAAAGACTGGAAAGAAGGACTTCTAGTCAAAATACCAAAGAAAGGCGATCTCAGCAACTGTGACAACTACAGGGGAATCACTCTTCTTTCAATACCGGGAAAAGTCTTCAACAGGGTATTGTTAAACAGAATGAAGGACTCCGTAGACGCCCAACTTCGAGACCAACAGGCAGGATTCCGTAAGGATAGATCGTGCACAGACCAAATCGCAACTCTACGGATCATTGTGGAACAATCAATTGAATGGAATTCATCACTCTATATCAACTTCATCGACTACGAAAAAGCATTTGATAGCGTGGACAGAACAACCCTATGGAAGCTTCTTCGACACTACGGCGTGCCTCAGAAGATAGTCAATATCATACAGAATTCCTATGATGGATTAAACTGCAAAATCGTGCATGGAGGACAGTTGACAAAGTCGTTCGAAGTAAAGACCGGTGTCAGGCAAGGTTGCTTACTCTCACCCTTTCTCTTTCTCCTGGTGATCGACTGGATCATGAAGACGT